ATATAAATTATTAATAAAAAATGAATTAGAGGGCAAAACTAACTCAAATAAATGAAAAAAAAATAGCTTAAGCTATCAAGTACATTCTATATAAAATCTTACTGCATCAAAAGCGTACAAATACTTTTTGTTTGATAAGTACTTTATGATATCGTCGACAGTTGTGTGACGCTAGCGAATAGCTTCAGGCTTTGTCGATATTCTTCGAGAATAAGAAGCTTAACTCACGCAAACGCGGACGTATCCAGATTTTTCCCGAGCTTTTTCTCTCGATGAGAAGCTGTACCCGCGGGTCATTCATGCCGTAACAAAGCGCATTGTGTCTCAATGGATCTTTAACGGTGCTCGCAAATCTCGGCTGTTTTGTGTTTAAACCGTATTCAAACAATACTTGCACTTGATTGAAACGATTAATGAATCGTAAACATAATCGATATATACACACGTCATATATACACGTGATTTTAAAAAAGCACCTTTGGCTAAATTTTTCATATATAATTGAAATCTCTAAAATTTTTAATTAAGTTTATTTTTGGTAATTTTTTTTTATTTTACGAACAATTGAGCGGAATCGATATATATAAAAAGATTGAGGAAAAGAGAGAGAGAGAGAGAGAGAGAGAGAGATAAAAGGCGATGAAGCGGCCACCGTGAGGGGCAATTTTCGCGCGTCGAAACATCTCGCTAAAATACTCACATATCGCACGCAACGAATTTCGAACGTGCGTTCGATGGGTCGCGGTGTGTCAGTTAAGTGGATCAAAGCTCGATCGGACGTCCGCGCCCGATCGGAGTTGCTGCGAACCGCTTTCATCATCCATTCACGTCGCGAACTCGCGCGCAGACTCATAAATACCGCACGACCGCGCGTGTGACGGCCGTATGCGTTCTCCCATGCAGACACCGTGACGTAAATACTTGCCTGCATTTTGCGATACAGAGAATCACACAGCCTGGAGATGGCCGGTTCACCAGCGCGTGTATTTTCTACGTGAAGTGGAATCTGAAGCGTGTTACCTCGCATTTCCTTGGCTCTCTCTCTTAACTTTATTTTTTTTTTATTTTTTTTATTTAAGATATTTATGTACACATACAGATCTAATGCACACACACATACGACATTCTATAAAAACCACAAGGAAGATGCGAAATGCGGAGTATTTCAAGAAACCTTGGATCGTTGCTATTCGCTTTGAAATTGCTAAGCAATTTTTTCTTCGATAAAAATTTGCGTCGCTTTTTGTTTCAATTAATCTATTTCATTTCCCATTATTTTTTTCTATTGTTTAATCCATCAGAGAACCTATTCTCTGAAGAAACTCTTAGAATTCTATCACGCGCGCGCGCGCGCGCGCGAGAGTGTCATTTAGTGTTCTGCTTTAGTGCACGGGCTTAGTGGTATCACGGGCAAGCGCAGAGTACGGGTTTATCGATTTCTCTCGCGTACATAGCGGCGAACATTTTCATCGCCGTCGGTATCATCTTTCGCAATATAGTGGTTGCATTACGGCGCATTATAATTACGGGCGTTTTACGACGCTTTCGCCAATGCAGAATAACGCCGGCCGTGCGCGCGCTTTATGGTGTACGCACGGGATATGTCGGGTGGCACACGTGGAGTACCATTCAACGATGGCGGGGGTGGTTGACTGACAGCCGACTGACTGGAGGCGGAGAGACCGAATGAGGTTGCGCGAGGTCAGGGCGAATGAGAAGTCCCTGACCTGGTCACCTATGTCTTTCTCTCTTTGTCTCTCTCGTTTTCTAGCATTTACAAAAATTTGGGGTTTAATTAATGAAATACAATGTCCTGTCTCGTTGTTCGAGGAAAAGATTCATTCTATTATAGGATGATTTAAGAGGAAAGATCGATATTTCGAGAAATATTTGTATTTTGATAAAGTGATCTCTATTATTTAAATTATATAAGGAAAATAATTCTTTTTTCAAACACTTGCAATTTTTTTATTCATTTTATTTGTATTTTTTTTTCAACTTTAAAAAAAACTATATACTTATATATTTATACTTATACTTGGAAGATTGTATTCAATTAAATTAACACATATCGCAATTTTTAATAAGATTGCTTACCACATCTCGTGTTAGACTAGACCATAATTAATTTCATCACGAATCTCTCTTATCACACTTCATCTATAGCACAAACTAGGAGTTATTACGGAAGGTAGAAGTTAACAGGGCGATCTGTTCGTCGCGTCTCTATAATCAGCGCTAACAATCGCTCTCTCGACGATCCCATTGTACCCGTTGTCGTCGATGCCATTATTCTCCAAGTACGCGCAAGAATTTCACGCGCGTCGAGTTGCTTTCCGAAATCTCGACTCAAGCGCATCCGCATCAAGGAGGGCGCGCACCTTCATTACAAGGGCGCGATCGGCAAGCGCGAAAAAGTCTTCCGGCGCTAACAAGCGGACGTGATTTATAGCGGCGCTCATTAATCACGTTAAGTTCTACCTCTTTCTCCTCCCGCGCGCGCGAGACCTTCTTTTTAAACCGCGATTCGATCTCATTGTCCTTAACGGACAAAGAGAGAGAGGGGGCTCTAGAACAGAACAGGCGGTTGTATTATTGCCCACGTACAACAACGTGATTCATATTAGCGTGCGCGCACTATACGCTAAATTACCAGTCGAACACTGTGTGTCGTAAACTCGGCAGCCGCCTGTTCCTCGGCGCATTAATTTTTGTTAATTGCCCGTGCAATCAGCGCGCGAACGTACATATATGTATGCGTTTATACGTGTGTTACATATATGCGATGAAATACACGACGAGAGTTGAGTCGCAGACTGCATCGGCGACTGCGGTTTCGATCGCTGCTGAGTCTCTCGCTGTTGATCTTTGTTTGATAAATGACGTGCGAGTTTTACGGAGCGCCACACCGTGACATGATTGATTCGTTATGTATATATCGTCGCCATCTTTACGTCACCCCTCGCGTCGTGTTCCATTTTAGGCGTTTTACCATTTAAGCGTGCGCGCGGCTTGTCACCGCGATTTCCGTCGACGACGAAATGAATTTCTCTCGGTGGAAGGTTTAAGCAGCAATTAGCACAGCTTCTGTGTGAGATTCGTTAAGTTAATTGAGAACCTCCACGTGATCCTTTAATTAAAAATGCGGTAATTGGTAATATAACTCGCCGAAGAATCTGACGTTAAAATATGACTTGGCAAGGAATCTAAATTACCTGAAAATGCATTTAAGTCCTTGAGTGCTTACGTTTGGTTAATTCGCACCGGCCAGAGTTTTCCTTTTCATTTACATTTTTCTCTTTTATAAAGAAATATGAAGGAAGTTAATTTCATAAATACATGCGATTTTGAATTATTAAATGCTCATATCTTGAGAATTCAATATCAAGTTTGCATAAACCAAAGATATAACGATTTGTGTTCTTTTTTTTTTCCACGCAAAATACTTAAGGATTATTTTTAAGGATAATTTTCGAGGATATACATATCGCGTAGATTACAATATGATGAAATCTTCTGCTCGCGTCACACTAACGTCTCTTTATCATTGCTTCATTTCAGGCCGATCCCGACCCGCAAATCCAGTCTAAGCTGGGCAACTATCACCTAGTGAAGCATCTGCTGGACGAGCCTAAACGTTTGATCGGCATCGACGGTATCCCGCAGAGCCCGGCGCCCTCGCCGACGCCCTCGGCCCACAAGTCCAGCACAGGCAGGAACTGTTCCCCGTCCTCGGGGCAGGAGTTTAAGAAACCGGGCGGACTCAGGGGATCGAGCGGCTCCTCGTCTTCCTCCTCGGCCGGCGGCTCGTCGGCCACGAGCCACCAGCAACGGGGCGGCTTCGTCAAACCCGCTGACGGCAAACCGCCCTACGGTGGCCGGGGTGGCTATCCCGGTCAGCCGGTCAAGCACGGCGGTGGCAGTAACGATCATCGCAACCACGGCTTACTTCCGGCCAAGGGCCCCCCGCCCCTCGTACCCCCGCACGTACCGCCCGCCCTCGTAGGGAGCAATGGCTCTTTGCCGGTCGGAGGCAATTCCGGCGGCGGGAGTGTCGTCGGTGGCAATTTCAGCGGCGGTCTCGCGAGCCGTACTCAATTCGCCGGCCGGCTGAAGCTGATCGAGGTTAACGTGAGTATCGATTTTTGCATTTCTCTCTGTATCCTTCTCCCTCTTACCCCTTTCGCGCGCTATGATTGTCAATACGCTGGTTTTACGATCGTTTCGAACTAGCGATCTACGTGCGCGATGATTGGTCGTCCCTCCAGAGAATGGACGATATAATGGCCTTTCGGAGGTAACGTTTTGATCGTTTCGTTTCGAGCGGAGATTGTTTACACGCGGGGTGTTTCGGAAATCGTGTGTTTCCTGTGACACGGATACCATGGGGATGAATGAACGATAGAGAAATATTAATATAATGATTGACATTGTGAATAAAAATTCTAATGTCGGTAGGAATTATGAAAATCTGTCACGAATGTCACAGAGATTATGAAAAAGAAGAAATATATAAAAAGATTAAGATCAATGTAAGGAAATATAGACACACAACGAGGAAATAAGAAAAAGTTTTTAAATATATTTATTTATTTATTTTAAATTAAAAATCATATCGCACGCGCGCGAAGACACGAATAAAAAATACATGTAGAGCTTATACGCAATTTTTAATATATTTGATATGCACGTCGAGAAGCGAGAAGATTAATCTGAAACTTGAAAGCATTCCGTTATAGTATCGAAAAATAATCAATCGTGCGACAATTTTCATAATTGATATGTTCGGCGCTAAAAAGGAATGAACTATGAAACACTATTTTAAGAATATGCAGTTTCATATACAATAATTTGCATTATTTTAGATTTTGTACTTTTTTTTACTTTGTCAGTTTTTCACGGAGACAGTATTTTCGAAATTAATTGATTATTTAAATCATGATGAAAAACATATGTGTGAGTTATTTTATTTAGAAGATTAAAATTTACAAATTTTAGAATTTGTCGCTCCGATAGCATCGATTTTTGTTTAATGCACTATCAATAGACATATTAGAGGCCTTTCGATAAATACACGAGTGCCGTGGCGGTGACGTCGCAACGATGCCAGACTCACAAAGTCTCGAACTACTTTAATAGCGTGTCTCGCCAGAGTTGCGATTATTTGTCACGTAAGAAGATTAAGAGCGAAGTTTCCGCGACGGTCGACGCTATTGCCGCACTTTACTAAACGAGACACTGTCGAAATTAACAAGTTGCTAAGAATCATTATGCTATCGCTAATCTAGCTGCATATTTTACATAAGGAGTTTTCTATAATATTAATAACGATAATATCAAACAAATTGAAGATTTTGATTTTGATGATATTATTTATATACAAAAAATGAAGTAATCTCGAAATTTTAATTAACCAACGAAATTTAAATTAATCAATAGTATAAATAATTTTACTATAATATATTTTAATCGCCGACACTATAAATTGTTATAATCTCCTTCATACATATTCGATCGTTGGTTAATTGAAATAGACATATTTTATAATTAATTTATTCTATATATTTTTGCGATATCTTTTTTTAATTAAACGACAGAATAACATTATATCGAATACACGAAAGCTGTTTTTAAAAATTAACGGTACTCTGAATTATTCGCTTTACCGCATCAAAATCTTCAATTATCAATCACTCTTCGACATCTTGAGCGCAATACATCATTTTCGCGTTCAAACGAGTGAATCACGAGATGCTCCTTTTCTTCTCGGCCGCAAATCGCAGGAGAAAGATCAAGCAGCAACGGCATTAATCACCGAGGAGCTATAATAAAGAGGTTATTATCTTTCCTTCCCCCTCTTCTCTTTTTCTTCTCCACATTGAATCTCTACTCCATGATCATCCAGCGAGGTATCAAACGAAACCAGTTGGCTCGACAGGCTCGTTGACAGAGAATGAATTGCTTTTCAATGGAAATCCACCTGAAGCGGGGGAGGTCCAGATAGAGGGAGGGGGGGAATTTCGAGACGGCGGGTCCTATTACGCGTGGCTTCTCGAGGTGCAAATTTCATTGAGATTGACTATCGATCGTGTCTCCTTCGACCCTTCGTCCTTCTCCCTTTCGCTCACATTGCCCATCGAGGGGACGATCAGAATGCCTCTCCTTCCACGGGTACTTATACAATTAGAACCGGCTAGGTTCTGAGTGCATCTCATCCCTCCTTTCTCTCTTTCGCGTTCTTCTGGAAAATTGATTCTCGTTTGTCCACGTAATCGTTCCTCTAGTAGTGCTCACTCTATCTTGAGCCAGCATTTCTTTTCTCTATCCCTTTCTTTGACAATGGACGGCGAATCGTTCGCTGCCGAGTCGTTGGCCATTCGTTCTCATCCGCGAAATTGGTTCGGAATTACGCGCGAAGAAGGTGGAAGGGGGTGGAGGGACGGATATGCGGTTGACAACGAGGGGGTAAATTCGTAAGCCAAGTATCGTTGGACGTTACGCCGTTAATGAAAGCAATATATCCCGGGTTTTTCTTTCTAGTGTCACCTTTTCCTCAATTTCTTTACCTTCCATTGTCGTTTCTCATTTCGATTCTTTTATGCTCTTTTTATCTTGAATATCAATATCTCCATTTTGTTATATATTTAAAAAAATTAAACTTTGTTTCTTTGTATGCCATTGTTAAAAATGTTTTACATATTTTTTATATATATGCACATAAGTATAGCTTAAAGATAAACATGACAAAATTAAGATTCGAGATTAAACAACCTCTGTCAACAGGTTTAAATAAGATTCATTGGAATCCATAATAATTCGTTATTGCTTATAGGTGTGTACAGCTATATTTTTTCTTTCTCTTTCTCGGCTTCCGCTCTCTCCGGTTTTCCCATTTTCCGCTCGTTCCTTTTCCGTGATTATCCGTCTCGTCCGCCTCCATTTTTCACCCCGTTCTCCGCGACGTGGTGTCCTCCGGCTAAAAGTTACTAGACACTCTCAACCCTCGTATCCCATGCCACCCCTTCCTCTTTTCATCCGTCGTTTCAGCCATCTCACGCATTCGCTATTGTTCCCGCGTTTTCTTTCTGGGAATGACTACTCGCCGTTATTCGTAATACCACCACCCTTTAGAACGTGTCCTCCCACTCGTCTCACTCCCAGTCCGCACCCTTTTCAATGCCTTTTCCCCATTTCCGTCCCGACGTTGTTGATTAATGATCGCTCGAGGAGGCTCGTGATAAATCGCGGAGAAATCTCGCGAGAAGAGCGGATTCTCTTCTGTGCAAATTAGTTCCGGAAACGCGTACGAGATATTTTGAATTTGCTCTTCGCGTGCGAGAAAGGATTTAGTTCGATCTATCGACGAAGTGAATCCCGTTTAATTTTACGTTGCAAGTACAAAATCGAATCCGAATTTGAGCAATGATTTTCTCACATAATTTCATTTTATAAATATTTTCCTTCTTGTATCATATATTTTATTTAAATCGTATTAACTAGTATATTTTAATATTAATATATGATGTAAAGCTAAAGTAAAGATAGATGAGTTACATGACATAATCGCAAAAGTATATCTTTTTAATCTTTTTTTTCAGGGGTCGAATTCGCGATCATCAATTGACAGTACAGATGTGGAGAACATTCTGAAGGTAAGTTCTTTATAAAAAAAAAATTAAATCTTATATTTAGATAATTATTATAGCAGGGCTATAAATAACTATAAAACTAGTACATGAGTAAATTTTTTTGCTTCGCATAAAGCATTAAAAAAATTGCATAAATGACGTACATGACAGCATCGGAGAATCAATTGAAAATTCTATAAAATTTTGCGAAATAAAATGTTAGCGAAACATTTGCGATTTGTTCTGAAAATTGATTGAAGAACAGCTTTATGTGTGTGAACTTTCATGCGGATAAACACAGGATCAAACATTACGAAGACGTAAGATCGCCAAGCTATCCAATGTCGAGTTCCCTTTCCCAACTCGATGGGAGGTTCATGCTCGATCAATAAGTCAATCTTCTTGCCGATACAAGGCTATCTTGTATCGAATCGATTTATCATTCTTCCTTCACCTCCGGCGCGTCCGATCTTCGACGGCGATATTATGTCACGCCTTCGTGAGATAAAAAGTTCTCGATTTCCCGTTAATCGAAACTCCACGAGAAGTGATGTACAACTTTCTCGCGACCAGCAGTTGTCGCGATTTTCGGAAACGAAGATATAGATTTTATATTTATACGCGAACGCGAACGAATTTATCTCGCACTCTCAGGATAAGAAGAGTTTATATCCCCCTTTTACGGGGATTAAGCAGAGAAAGACGCGACGAGATTTCTCGATGATAGTATCTCCCATGAGAAAAGATTGTGTTTGCCTTTTCTTGTCGGTAGAAGATCTACGTTCGACTTTTGTCGATTTCCAACTAAAAGTACCGAATCTCCCTCGGTACTCTCCGTTAATCTAGAAATTAAGAAAGGAGATTGCATTTATCTTACTTGTCGGTGATTTTTCCGCTCTTGCGAAGTTTTTCTCCGCGTTTCCTGCAAAAGTTTTTCCGAGCAAAAAGTGCGATGAAAGCACCGTTATCGTCGTTCGCGGTTTACAGAGAGACCACTCTTGGATTTCTTTAAGTTTGTTATTAATTAATGTTGATTCGGTTTTAAACGTATTGTCCGTTATTTCGCTTAATTATTAATCGAGTAACTCGTGGAAAATTTAAAATTACTGAAAAATGTCAATAAATATTTCAGTGCTTGAATGAAACTTTACATTCGTTTGCCGATCGAAGCTGCTTTACTGTCTCCTATGTGCTTCAATAGCTTGTTAATAGAAAATTCATTAAAGCATCTCCATGTGAGGACTTTCCCAGGCAGCCTTATCACATACGTGAAAAGTTGTTTGACAGTAGAAATGGACAATCTATATATCACGATTATTTATTGCATTATTTTCGTGCACAAGATATAACACGCGTCATTCAAATGGTTCGAATATTAATCTGAAAAAGTCGTGTATAAACAATTTATAAATATAAATGTCAACATTATTATAATTGGCGTTCTATTTTTTAAAATACACGAAATATTTATTTATATAATATAATATATTCATTATTAATTATTAATTCCAATTTTTATAAGTATAATATAAACAAGTAATATAATATTTTAAATATCATAGTAAAGAAAATAATGTGTGTTCCGTATTTTTCTTAACAATTCTTTATTTTTTTTATTGTAAAACAAGTAAACACCTACTATTACTCGCGCTCAGATGATACGATTATGACAATCGCCTCACGCGAGATCGTAAATACTTTTCTAAACGCCCAACGGCAAAAACGGCAGTCGCGCGGAAAGCACGGCTGTTTACGCGCTGTGAGAAACGGAATTACGGTGGTAAAGAACGCATCTTCTCTCTCACCGAGAGAGAGAGAGAGCTCCGAACTGCGCTCTGACAATGGGAATGCGCATCTCCCTTGCTTGTTGCCGCATCGTGGAAAGCCTCTTGTACGTACTCATTCGCGATCCTATCGGCGGGGTGAGACACGCGAATTTGGATTACTTCCTCGAAGCAGAAAGGAAGCGATAAGAAAAGAGGATGACAAAGTCTTTGGGCCGCGCGAATTTTTCAGAAAATTCCAATTTAACGCGAGGTTATAATTTGAGGTAAAATTAATTATTGTTTTGAATATAAAATTATATTTCTTTGCGAATTTTATTATTCGAATTACTTTGTGACATTTAACTATGTAATAGGATTTAATTTGAAAGCTTAAAAAATATTTAAACACAACTATCATATTATCCTCTTTAGAAAGTGCGAATAATAATAATATTACAAAGTGTACATTATGGAATTACGGATTATAAAATGATAGACGCATATACCTTAGATCAATGAATACAGCGAACCGGCTAGATTATCCGGGATAAGTAATTACGGTCGTAAATGCAATTCAGCGACGGAAGGGTAAACGTTTCAGAACGACATGTGGATTTATAGCGCCATTCGCGCGCGACGCACGTGCGCACGACGAGAGACACCCACGTTTTACGTGAAATTTCCACGAGTGTGAAAACGGTGAAGGAACGAGAGGAGCGACGAGTCCTCTCTCCAACGTTCTCTCGTCGTGTCGGACGCCGCAATGATTTACGCCGATTGTCATGTCGTTTTTTTCAACGACACATGACATTGTCCCCGCGACGTCGAGCCGAAAATAATCAGCCCGCACGGATCCTAATCCTTTGATCACCGACGAATCCTACGGGTAATTCTCGACGTTTCTCTCTCTCTCTCTCTCTCTCTCTCTCTCTCTCTCTCTCTCTCCCTCTGCGCCGTTCTCTGGATTCGACATCCGAGTATATAACGGGATTTTAGCAGTCTACTGCGTTACCACTAGTGGGGTTGCTGGAGGATCAAGCGAAACGAGTTAGGGGTCGACGGGATCGTATGCTAATTTATGGATATGGTTTAATGGCGATTACGGGCTCCGATAACACCGAACCCCAGCAGCAGTCATAACGTTGTGACAGTATCAATTCCACTGCCGCGTCGCAGGATTGACGTCGTCCCGACACCTTGCTCGCTCATGATTGATACTTTCGTTTCACACAGTTCGCGTGAAACCACGGGAATTCCTCGAGAATTTCTCTTCACGAAAAAAATTTCAATTCGAGTTAAAATCCCTGAAATTATTCAACAATAAAAACGAGAAGAAAGTTTTTTAATGATGTTTTCGAGTTAACTTTAGGCTTATTTTAACTGTAAATCTTTATTATACTTTTGCAGCAACAAAGATTTTGTTCAAATCTATATCAATTATCAAAATATTTTGCGTTAAAAATTTAACAGTCACGAAAGAGGGTATAATGGCAACGTTCCCCAATTTTCAAACACAACGCAGAGGAGCAAACAGAGGAGAGAGAAAGAGAGAGGTGCCGGGCGAAAAGGCAATATTATTAATTCTTTTAAAGAAAGAGTGACCGCATTACTAAAAAGAAGCTGCTACTGGATCCTTCTCCTTCCCTCCTCATTTGTTTAACGAGGCAGGCTCGTATACAACGAGGCGCCTCGCCCTCGGGGCTTTTCCACTTTCAGCACAAATTTATGACGATGCTGCCTATATACCGAGTGGCCGGTACAGTTTTGCCTCTGAAAATCTCCCTCCCTCCTTGTCTGCTTCTCCTCGTTCCCTCGTTCCTCTCGTCGCTCCGGCGTTTGGTGCAGGAGCACCGTCAGAAGTCCATGAATTATTCTCACGGCTCTGCCCGTGGGAAAATACGAGAGTTGCGCCAGTAGGCATCGTAAATGCGACTGCTAATTGCGCTCGCCGACGACGGCGACGACCGCTCTTTGGCCAACTAGCTTCGCTGAATATCGCATTCTTTCATGACCACCTCTTCTCGCTTTATTTCGGATGTTTTTGTCTTAGATTCGGGACACCCTTCGTCCGTCTCGCGCGCTTTTGTCTCCGCGTAGCATTTTTAGCTTTTTATATTGGACACGCGAAAGAGTCGCAACATTCTTGACTGATAATTCTTAATCCGTGAAAATTTTTATCGAATTATATTTGCATTAAATATTCTCGATTGTTATCGAAAGAGAGATGACGGGGGTTTAAACAGGATAAAGCTAAAATATACATTCGTATTACGATATCTATGAGAATGCTCGGGATTTCGATGTTCAATTTTATATCGTGTATGGAAACGAATTTCCGCGTTTGGCCGAACGCCAATTTCCAAGGCTTTTAAAACCATTAGGTGTCAGTTGCTCTCGTTAATAGTCGCTTATTTTTCGCCGGACTGCGGCGCAATAACGAAATCTTGGTGGACCCTAATGTAGCGATTTATCGCACCAAACGCGACGCGGCGAAAAGCCATGACCCAGATAGGTGTGACGGTTATGTATCGAGTGACATTGAATTAATAATCGCGTGCTTTCGTGTGTGATAGACTTGTTCGTACGGAACGGTGATCGAATGCATTTTTAAGGGACTTTGCAACACTTTGTCGCGCAATATACGTCTGAATGTTTCCATCAACTGTCATCGCTACGTGACCTGGGCGTCGGATCGATGTCCACTTTTTAAAATTTATGATAATCTAAAAAATTTCTTACGTATAGAAATTAATTAAATAAATTTCTAATATGTTTAGAATTTAATTAACAGAATTGACAGAACTGTTTTATTTTAATATGAGTAATGTACTCTAACTATAACAACGTAAGTTTGCTTATATACACGCTTTTAGTATATCGAATAAAACTAACTTGATAATTGCGGAATACGAGCCTTGTATTGATATTACTTATATCTTATAGAGATATACAGATCGTTATAGTGTTTAGCGATCGATCTCATCTTGAGGGTTCCTTGCGAAAGAGGGAAGGCTGAGAGATGGCAAGTGCAATTCCGCCGAGTGCAGTGCCACCGGCTGGTGCCTCCGTAACGGGTTTTCGCTCCTTCTCGCGTGTCTAGCGTAATTACCGGCATTACATACAACGTATGTACTCTACCAGAGTGTCTATTATCCGGAAAAAGTCGGAATTCTTTTTGGGAAATTTTTTTCCAAGCTTTGAATAGACACTTTTTGTAGATACAATTTTATTTTTCTTGGATATGTTAATAAAATATTG